ACATCATTATTCATCGAAGAGCTGCTAGTAGATAAGAAGAACCCCTCGCGAAAGTGACCCGGAAAACTACGTCGCGGACAAATACTCGCTAGGACGATTGCCCTTTAAAAACTACCTAAGACATGTACCACTGGACAACTATGTAATGCCAACTATCCCGCTTAGACGGTTTTGTTTAACCATTTAGTTTCCCGCTAAAACCTAAGATGCGTACGACTATTAAAGGTCGACGGGTTGCTGAATTTTGACAACCGTAAAAAGTTGCGACCACCGACGATCAATTTGCAAGTATTTTAATGGGCGATCAGTTGCCGATCGGTCGTAGAGAGATGTCGATTGGTTCCTGAATGTCGTAAGAGAATTGTCCGATCATCACATATTTTCGTATACTAGCAGCCTTTTCACACACAGCTAAAATTCTATAAACATGACTAGTATAAACGTGTTTCGAACGTGTTTAAACTAATCACGAGCCTTTCACACACAGAAATTTCGGTGCGATCGTTAATTGTTTCGTGATTAACTACTGCTCGTAAAATGCGCAGTAGTGCCATTGCGCATTGAAGGTCATGTCATGTCAATCAAAGCGCACGCTCCATCCAGTTTAAACACGTTTAAACAAGAATTTCCTTTCACACACAAAATGTCAAGCTCTCTAGATACGAACTTCGTATCTGCAGCCTGCTTTTAGGGGCGTATGGATCGCGACTTCGTATCTATCCCAACATCGTATAAACGATGTTCACACTGGGAAATTTTGTCTATAAACATGTTTAAAATTTTACGATGATTCTAATCATCACTAGATACGATGAATTTTAGCTGTGTGTGTGCCACCGCTCGTGAACATGTATTTGAATTGTTTGCATTTGTTCGGCGATTCATCGGCAAAGATAAACAACTTTTCGGAGATCAATGTATGATGACAAGCTTTAAAATGACTGGTATAAATCATTGACGAAAACACGCATAGGAATGTTGAATTTCTTGTCCATTAGTAGCCAAATTATGTGTGTTTATGTATATTTTGTGATGCTTCTTAGCATTTTTTATAAGATACAACTAGGTTGTAAGGTCATGATGATTTGATCAATGGAAGACATATAGAACAGTGATAGGAAAAATGCGTACAAATAACAGAAAGAGAGGGCAGTAGATAATTGAAAGCGAGTGAAATCGAGAGTACAGTATGAAAGCGGATGTGGAAGTCATTTTATTGCGTTTTTTATTTTTCGATTGGTTGCCTTGCAAGAACAAAGGGTAATATGTCATTTATCTACATTGGGTCTATATGCAATTACATAAACTCGTTAATAGATAATACGGGAAATGTTTCACAGCAATGATGCTGTGCCATGTTTCTTTTGAAAATTGTATCTTGACATGTTCTCTCTCCTTTTTTGTTAATTCATAAAACCAAATCTCGAGGGCAATATCATTCAAAGTAGCATACGTAGCATGGATAGATGATTATATCGCAATTTATTAATATTATAAATTGAATTAACGTTTTTTCACTGAACAAGGTAGCCGCAGCAGCAGAAAAAGAACAAAGAATAACAGAAGCTATGTAGATCAATAAACAAGAAAAGCAATTGATTTTAATACCTTCTTATTTTTCCGGTCTTTCCTTTCATTGAAAATAAGGAATTTATGAGGCAGCAGTAGAAGCAACAAAAGAATCAGTCGGCGATCAGTCTGAGAAATATGGCCTTCCTTGGAACAAACTAGAAAAACTCTTCCACAAACAGTTAAAGCCTACGTCGGTTGCTGACTATTGACAACCACAACAAGCTGCGACCATCGACAACCAATTTGCATTTATTATAGTGAGCGACCGGCTGCCGATCGGTTGTAGGGCAGTTGTCGAATAGTTGTCGAATTTCGCACTGGCAAAATTGTTCGATCATCAAAGATTTCCGTAAACTAGTTTACTACCGCTCGTGAAATTGTTGGCTAACAGTAGACAGTTGTTTGGCGATTGATCCTCTATATTAAAGGAGAACTAACCCCAAAGAATAAATGTAGGGATTCTGAAAACGGGACGAATTCCTGCCTTTTGATGTACAATAAATTTTACGAACGTATACAAGAGATATATATATATAAATGAAGATGTCTTGGTATGATGTAATGCCTTTAAGCATGACAGGGGCGCAGCCATTTCCTTGAAAATGTGACGTACCAGTTGGAGTTGTACATGTATCATGCAACAAGCTTTGATTGGAAAGATTTTAAAATTCAATAACAAAACCTTTACTTTTCAATGAGGAAAAATCATAGCCGAGAAGGTAAAAATTACATTTGGTGAAAAATATATAATAGGGTAACAAGTTTGGGGCGGGTAGTTTGTTCTAAATATGTATTGAATCTTTTTGGGGCTTTTTTTAAAATGACCGAGTTCAAGGTAGATGAAGTATATAGCTCAATGTTGATGAAGATTCATGTAGATCATACTCATTTTATCAAAATAATAATCGGTACACTTATGACCTTGACAAAATATTGGCTATTTTAAAAAAAAAGTTCAGCCATCCATCAACAAACTACCCTCATACGATCTTTCCTCCGCCTTGGCCTGACAAAATGATCAATGCCGGAGAGTGCGACTTTGAGATTACATCCGGGTTCAAAAATTAATGGAACCGGGTGGGATTTCATATTTTTCCGCGCTCGGATTTCATCAAAGCAATCCATTATTAGAATACTATAATGAGTCCTTTAGATTTTTTAATGTTTTATATATATAACAATCTATGTTTGTTAATATGTAGGTCAATGAAAGCATTATGTTTTTAATGTTTCTTTTCATTTCATTTATTTATTCAGTATTGTATACATAATGAAAATCAATATACATTGAAAGGTAACTGAATAGATATAAACTTTTTTAAACAGAATGGACCAAGCCTCCAAGATAAGCGAAGTAAATGGTTGCCTTGTGAACTGAATTGAATTTTGAATTGATCTTATTTTCACCAAACATGAAATAAATGTGCACAAAATGATACATGTACAATTAATAAATTGGAGGGGTAACAAAAGTATAAATACTTATCTAGGTTATCCTCTTAAATTAAATACAAGCAGACAAGAGACATACTATATATTATAGGGGGTTCCTGGTGATACATGTACAGCAAGAGTAGAAAGATGGGCAGAGACTGAAGAGACTGAAGAGTGATTGAGTGTGTATGGGTGTATGTGTGTGTTTGAGAGAGAGAGAGAGAGAGGGGGGAAGACAGAAGAGACTGAAGAGTGATTGAGTGTGTATGGGTGTATGTGTGTGTTTGAGACAGAGGGACAGAGAGAGAGAGAGAGAGAGAGACAGATATAGACCTTTAACAAAAACGAGCCCCACTTCCTTCAGTACATAAGGGTCATTAATGTGAATTTAGGTTGCCTGAACATTTGCATCAATGCCTTCGTTTTGCAATCGTTCTGGTTGTGACAATGTCTAAGCAGCTGATTTCTGGGAAACAGGGCTACCTTTCGCACTGATATACCATACATGTGTATTAGAACTTCGACTTTTTACTGTCTCAACTCAACTCTTACCTAAATTTGCCCATTTTTCGGACCTTTTACTTTAGCTTTCATATATATAAAATCTGCACCGCCACGGAAAAAGTTTGAAAACACTTGCTATAATAAACAACCGGTCAGAAATCTCTTACGACGTTCGGCAAGCGTTAGAATGAGGGGGGGGGGGGTTGATTCGATTCTAAAAAGAATTTTTTAGAGTTTGAATTTCTTGTCCTTTTTGAGAAAAATGTATTTGTTAGACGCGGTGTGATTTCATTGATATTTTAATTATCTGATGATTCTGAACTTTTATTTCAAAAGTGAATAACTAGGTTGTGTTAAAGCAGAATGTTATGATTCGATTGGGTTAATAATATAAACTAGAAATATGATAGCGAAGCTGTGTGCAAATATCAGGGAGAAGGCAGTATACAATGGGAAAGGAAGGGAAACGACGAGTATGTTATGAAAGGGGAAGGTAAAAATCTGTTTCACAAATAAGAATAGAAGTCATCGTATTGTGTTGTTACTTATTTTTCAAGTGGCTTTCTTAAAAGGAGTGAAACGTGATCATACGGCATCCGGGCTAGAACCACATATTAATTAGATTATGATAAATTATGATGATGAACCAAATCGTAAGCAATAATTTTGTTAACATAACCATGACATATCTGGAAAATCTATAACAAAATCAAATCTTGAGAGTATTATGAAGCGGAGGGACTTTTTCCATATACGATACAGTGGCATATGTAACGCGTAGTCAATGAAATGTAGCAGACTATATCAAACATCTATATAGACTGGCGTTTGGTCTTTTTACCGTGCTGCTGAACAGTATAAAACAGCATATGTATAGATATGATATTTTTTAACAGTCGGAACAAAGAATATTGATATTTCCTCATTTTTTTCTCTTTTCTTTCAATTAAAAATTACCAAACAAAACTGAATTTATGAGGCAGCAGTAGAAAAACAATTGAATTCAGAGTTTCCAAATTTAAATTCTGCTGATTGTCTGTTTTCTGCGAACCTTTGGAGAATAATCGGCGACTGATCGTTTATCATTCGTTGATTATCTGCTGACCTTTCTCAACCAAATATCACACGATAATAGTCGACATGAACTTGGATCGGGCATCAGTCGGCAATCAGTCTGAGAAGTGTCGTCTACCTTTGGAAACAAAACCAACAAATCTTTCCTCGAACAGTTTGATCGGCAAAAGGTTTTCGATGCAGCAGAGTAAACCTCCAGCCGACCAAAATGCTCCAGAGACCAATCTGACAACCTTTTAAAGACTGATGTTATTTCAAATCATTATTCAGTACATATGTCATGTTAAACATGTGCCCGTTCCATACTCACACTTCCACGAAGGTTGATATCAACGAATATCAAACATTTATTGGACAACAGTAAATTACAAAAAATTAGGATACAGGTATCTTTCTTTGTAAAGGGGCAATCTTACCTCTGGAATCTTGGATCGCTTTGTCCAAAGCCATCCAAGAAGGATGAAAATTTGTTATTTTCAAACGGTAAAAAGAGAAATTGTTTTTCACCAGTTTAGGCATCAACTCCTCAATACCATCTGTTATTGCTCCCCAGTAACCATACTCGTTCATCTGTATCAAGGAGCACACTTTCCATCCAAAGAAGCCCATAAGCTCCTCGAAGCACTTTGCATACTGCTCTACCAAAAGCGATGTTCTTGTAAGAGTACTGTATCGTTTCTTGTCCCCTAGATCAAAACCAGGTGCTCCACCAGTGATCAAAGGAAGGTTCCAGGCGGCTGCCAAGTCGGCCAAGCTCAAAATGGACTTAATACAACCTGGTCCAATAAACGCAGCCACCTTGCGGGTATGGTAAGCGTTAGCAGCAATGGCTGGACTGACAACGGGATATTTGGCGTAGCAAGAGAAGCGATTATACCGAGTGTACTTAATCGTTATGTTATGAACCCTTCCATTATGGACAAGTTCCTCTATTTTGAGTATAGCAAGGTCAATTGAAGGTACGATTGAATTTTCCTGATAGTCACTCAATACCCCTTCCAGAACGAGTTCTATTCCAATAACAAGCGGAACGCAACAAACTCCCCAAATTACAACCAATCTCATCATTGACCTGTATTTTGAATCTGTCAGATGATACTTTTAAAATGGCATGAGCGCTCGACTACACGGTTTCAAGATACCAGCATTTAGAGCTTATGGTTACTAATCCTTGGAAAGTCATCACTTAATAAAAACGAACGCATTCGGAAGATGCAATTACGTGAGTTAAGCATAGCGGACTAACGTATGACATCAATGTAATCAAGACGCAGATGGGGGTATTACATCAGACTTGGTATGGCGATACGTCAGCTTCTCTATAGAATACTGTAGTATACTAAGGGGGGAAGCAGGTTTTTGAGACGTGGAATTTTGTAAAAGGTTGTTAGGTATCATTTTGTTCAGGACACCTCCCTGCACAGCTTCTCGGCGGACTACCTTGAAAATAATGTTATGCTGCTGGGAAAAATGGCCGCAATGTATAACTACTATTGGAAGATTTTGGGAGATTACTTTTTACAACAAAACCTCATTCTACCATGCGTAACCCGTCTTATCTACCCCACATGCATACACACATAATTATAGTCAAACGAACACACAAAACCCACCTGTATACATCCCTATTCTCCATTACACTCACATCCAACCCCGGCCACTCCCTCTTCCCAACCCAGTATCAAAGTACGCGAGGGAAGGAAAAGTAATACTAATGATAGTAATTATAATAATAATAATACTAATAATAATAATGTGGATAATAATGATAATAATGATAATAATGATAATAATGATAATAATGATAATAATGATAATAATGATAATGATGATAATATCAATAATCCTAGTAATAATGTCGTGTAGTTTATCTTATGAGTCAATGTTCTTTGTGAAATTATCCCATTTTTGGAAATGAGAAATGGGTATTTTGGCGCAATTCAACTATTGGGAATTATGGTTTTTAAAATCCCATTCTTGCTCAAAATTGTTGTACAAGTTATCCCCTTACATATTGAATCTGTTATCGATCTGTAGGAAATTTAGTTCTCTTTCATATGACACCTAACACATAGTAAAATGAAGTTCCGTAAAAATAAAATCCCCCAAAATCGTTGAACAGTACTTATACATGGCGGTCATTTTGTTTCTTTTCAGCAGCATATTCTCTAGTTAGTTCACCTAGAAATTGTGCAGGGAGGTCCCCTAGTCACGTTGATACCGAATGGTTAAACACAAAATAAAGTGAGACAAATTTGGCATAGGCCTACTATTGTATTTTGTTTTAGTATTCCGAAAGAAGCTTATCATGATAATTATAGTGTAGGAAATTCTTAAAGATTTTGTTATAATATCGAAATAGGATTGTAATGATAATTCTCCGATCAATTTATTCCCTTTTTCACTACTTTTTCTATCAAAAGTATAATGGATAGTACACTTGAATACTAACATATAATATTTTTAATTATTACTCCGATTCTGTAAAAGACAATTTTACAATGTAAGTTCCTTAGTTATTCTGTTCTGAAGTTTTTAGTCGTTAATTTTTACCTGATCATCACGGAAGTGTAAAAGTGTATAATGCTATTACTTTAATGAATATACTTCAGCAAGCTACCCTACTCCCTTCCATTTTCTTAATCTAAGAAACACAAGATAGCGAAAAAAAAAATTGCTCATGGGATATGTTTTCATTGTACTTGGTCTTACTGTACGTGCTGTTTACAGGCACGATACAAATTACCCCGTGTTTTTCTTTCGTAACATATTTTCTACGTTACGTCATAAAAAACATATACCGCAAGTTGTCTTCTTTTCTTTAGTTATCCTATCATAAAGTGTAATTCCGTTTTATAACAAGATATGAATACAGTGTATCTTCTTATATCTTTTAATCCTCTTATATCAAAGTACTTTCTTCCTTATATACTTAGAATAAACAAGTTACACCGCTGATATTCAGCTTCTCCCTTGAGAATTCAAATTGATGCTTGCAAGGTCATTACCAGAACTCGTGTTCATTAAGGACAACTATTGGATAAAGCGTTATTTGAAAATGTGTGGGCGAGACGATTTTTTGCCTGTGTACTGTGAATTGAAAAACTGTGTGGGTTTTTTCGATCGTTGGTTTGGGTGCGTGTGTGCGTGTGTGCGTGTGTGCGTGTGCGTGCGTGTATGAGCGGAGATATGAGTCACTGGTGCCATTTACTGTTTGTTGATTGGCCATTAACAAAATGTTTTACGATACTAATCACGATAATTATAATGATAATAGCTGATAACCACAATAATAATGGTACAAAGTAATATCAGTTATAACAACAATAATATCATGTTAAAAAGTACTCGTAAAACTTAGTATATACATGTACCTGTCCTTTCCATTGCATGCTGATAATTGAATTGATCATATGGATTTCATTTTAAAATATTCAAATTTCTAAATTTATCAAAGAGAAGCAGCCACCCCCCCCCCCCCTCCATCCGTGTGTTACGTTTCTTGCTCGATGTAATATAATGTCATGTTATTCTCATATCAAATCTATTAATGACTGTATACGAAGAAAGGACTTTGTCCCTAAACATATATAGATACTGTTGTATAAAGCCCTGATACAGCCACATATATGGCATCGAGGTTTGGGGTAGTACTTATAAATCACACTTGAATTGTATATTTATACTCAAAAGATGGTTGTACGTGCTATAACTTTCAAGCCACATCGTTCTCATACTAATGCACTGTTTCATGACCTCAAATTGTTGAATCTTTTTAAATTGCATAAATTATCTATTTGTACTTCAGTTTGTGTTTGATTTGATAAACGAACGACTACCTCATTCCTTAAAACATTATTGCAGTATGATACAACATGAATATTCCACAAGACAAAAAACGGGTCGACAAGTAATTTTTGGAATATGCTTCCTACGGATCTAAGAATTGAGAGATCAAGAACCTCTTTTCGTAAAAAACTTACAAAATTACTCTTGGGTGAAATCCGCGAATTATAACCTTGTAATTATATACCGTAGATGTATGTAGCAACCAGTCTCGTTTTTTTTATTGTAATATTATACACAAATCTTATTTATAGGATTTGGAAACACATTGTGTATTTTTCAATGAATTTTATTTCAGGTTTTAGATAACAAGAGTCAGACTCGACTAGCGCATGTGCTATTTTTTACTCTATTTTACCATCGATCATAAACTCAATGTTAAAGGTAAAGACCAGTAATGGTCATGCGATTGCATTGTGAAAGAAACGTTGTGGAATCGATCAGAAAAGGTTGATCATCTAGCATCTAGCATCTGCAAGGTTCTGGAATCATCAAAATGATAAGAAATTTGGCCCATTCTTCGTAAAGTTACAAGCACTATACACAGAAAGATGTATATGGGACTACCCTATCTCTCTCACACGACCATGAGAGAGATAAATTTACCAAATATATGAATTAGTAGGCGGTTTCCCGGCAAATTTTTTATCATCATGTATTAGTCAAAACATATTCTTTCACATGATTGGTAATGAGAGCTTCCATTTCATTTTTTGAAATTGGGGCGTTACCAATACTGGTCTTTACCTTTAATAGTCATTTATTGTTTTACTTGACACTAAAATTACTTCAAACTATTTTTTAATATTTTTATAATGTACATGTAGCCTATATCGCTGTAGAACATGTATTTTTATAATTCATGTCATGTATTTATGTTATATTGACATTGTCATTGTACATTTATATATATCTTTTGATTCAATGTTTCAATGGTGGTGAATAAATAAATAAATTCAATTCAATTCAATTTAAAAAGATCTTTATAGAAAAAAATTATCTTGATAAATGAGTTCATAAATGTTGATAAAATATTTAGTACTGCTTAATTTGTTTCTTTTCATTTTCTTATTTTGTGAAAGATATGTGATGATGGTGGCGATTATGATGATGTAGGCACTCTGTAATCATAATGCTGTATGACTGAGGTGTGATGATGTTGATGCAGTCTTATTTATTATTGAGTAATTGGTGTCCGACATCGTATTTTTTCATAGATCTGGCAGCAGTGAGATAGATTTGATCATCTTTCCTAGTGAGGGAGAAGGAGGAAACATAATAAGAGGGTAAGCAGGGCAAAAGTATATGCGGTAAAAAAAAGATCTACAATAGAGAGGGGGGGCAAGTTAAATGAAAAATAAGTTGGTGCCAAAATGACAAGTCAACCTCGCTTTTCGTAAGGACCGCTATTCATAATTTGAGAAAAGTGTCATTATTCATATGCCCATGGATCGTTTTTAACATGACATTATTGTTGTTAGTACTAATATTATCATTTTAGTACTTATCAGCTATTATCATTATAATTATCGTTATTATCATTGTAAAATATGTTGTTGATTGCCAATCAACAAACAGTAAATGGCATATTTTGTAAGTCATTGCTCATGAATAAACATTGACCCTCCATTATCGTTCAAATTGGACAAATCATAATGCACCCTATGTAAAACCTATGGAATAAACTTTTGCACTATGCACTTCGCGGGTGCATATTCTTTAACTGGGCTGCAACCTCCCCCCCCCCCCCCCCCTCCCTCCCCGAAACATTTTCGATCAGTCCTTACTCTTGATATAGACTTGTGAGGAGCTCGTTTGCCTCTAAACAAATTGATATGACCCCCCCCCCCAAAAAAAAAAAAAACACAACAACAACAACAACATCTCTCTCTCTCTCTCTCTCTCTCTCTCTCTCTCTCTCTCCCCTCTCTCTCTCTCTCTCTCTCTCGTTACGTATATATATATAACCCCTCCTCTCATCCTCATTCCATTCCTTCCTCCCTCCTCATTAGCGATCAGCTATCGCATAATTACTTCAACATAATTGATGTGTTTATTTTTCTTCTTGCATTTTCCGTTTTTTCTCAAGTTCACCCTGATGATTAATTCGTCGAGTAAACGTTGGCTTTCTTTTTTTTCCTGAAATGGGTCTTGAGTAATTTCCGAGTTACATCTTTAATAATTGATTAGGATTAGGAATAGGATTAGGAATAGAAATAGGACCATTACAAAGAGAATCTGGG